ACCTTGCTTATGATAGGAAGAAGACTATTGAGACAGTAGTTAAACAAGACAGATTGCTCTTCAGAATTTTTGAAAATGGGGATAACAGATGCCTTTTTCCAGCAGGCTGGAAAACAAGACTCTGATAAGCACTTGTAAAATGGTTTTAAAAGGATAGACAACAGCTCTCGAGAACACCTCTGCAAAACATAACAGGTATGTTGTCCGGGCCACAATCTGTAGAAGAGTCTACAGGCTCTTCTACAGGACAACACACCTGAAAAAATTCATTTTTTGCTGAATTGTTTGCAAAAAGAGGTGGAATATCAGATTCGCCGTTATTATTGATACTGTTAAAGATTCTCCAAAAGTCACGATAGTCTAAATTTTGTGATGAAATACGAGATTTTATGACCTGAGAATAGCGGGCTTTGGCGTTAGACAAAAACTTTTTACAATGGTTTCTAGCAGTAATAAACTGACGTCTGTTTTCTGGAGAATTGTTTTGCTGCTAAATATGGAAGTAACGGTTTCGATTAGAAATTGCAGCAGAACAATGTGATGAAAACCATGTAGAAGTGTGAAGCTTGATCTGGAATCGTCAAGAGAAAGTAAAAGATTCCATGCCAGCCTAAATCCAAGAACTTATGAAAGAAGCACATTTGTCAACAGGAAGACGAAAGATTTCTACCCAAGGCCCATCACAAAGAAAACTACAAAAGGATTCCAAGTCAGCTTTAAGGTAGTTGTAAAAGGTACGGTTATAGGAGGATTTAGATAATGAAGAAGAATGAGATAATATTTTTAGAGAGATCAAACCGTGATCAGAACCATTTAAGAGTTAATGTGGAGAAACTGAGCACTAATTAGGATCCGAAACAATACATAAGTCGAGTAGAGAAGGTAAATGACTCGGGTTGTCCGGAAAGCTATTTGGAAAGTTGACTATTTGAGTTAGAGATTAAGAAAGGCAAAAGTTATGGGCTTTAACGCCTGCAGAGTCAATGACACTAGAGCCAAGCGATTCAGTGTGATCAGCATTATAGTCACCAACAACAACAGTATTGGCTGATGGATAAAGATAGAGGGCTAGGTCAATTTGATCAGAAATAACATCAAAAAGTGAAAAGTGAACTATAACAGTTTTAAGATAAAGGAGAGCAACATGGAAAAAAAGGAATGGTGAAAATATTCTGTGAAGCGGTGCTAAACGAAAGCACATAAAAGAATAGTCTGTGGATTCAAATCTAATTTTCCGACAAATTCTTACAAATGTAAATGCCTAGGCCAAACATGTGACTATTGGAGTCTCCTCGAATTAAAGGAAGATAATCATCAGCACTAAGATCACAAGATGAGACAGCTGAACTCAAATTAGTCTCACAAAGAGCAAATAAATCTGGTCAACTTTGGAAGAAATAAGACTCAACAGAAAAAAAGTTACTTCGAAGACCACGAATACTAGTGAATGATAGGTTCAGAGGACTTGGTGATGACGATGGTTTTTTGTGTTTTATAGTTTTTGGCACTTTAGTCATTTTAAACTTTTTAAAGAACTTAATTCAAAGTATAGATAGTACTCAGTACACTATTTAATAGCCCAAGCAATTTTCTCATTACTATTAATAAACCCTAAGCCGTAACAAAGGGCTCCAAATGTGACCTCTACAATGCACACTAAAAGTACAAACAGGGACACCATCCATGCGCAACATGGCACTGTTTTAGTATTCTGATACTTTTTAGCTGTTGATGGAATCAGCCTCTTTGAGAACAGAGTTTGGGAAACCTGACGGCCAGTTGGCCTCAAAACCATAAAAGTGAGTTTTAGAGCTTTACTCTCTAGAAGATAATAGAATGAATTGCGTAGTCATAAAAGCAGAGATACAAGCAAAACCTATGCATTGAGTCAAGTAGATCCAGCGTTCAACATCTTAAACTAGAAACAATGTATGAAAAATACATCTGCGTCAGCCTAATAGAAGAAGAGGTGCGAGGCTGGTCAACAGATAGAATCTGTTTACCCTTTAAGTCTTTGCCTAGGAGGCCTTTTACAAGACAGTAGTCGTATGCGTTTAGCATCTGCCTATATCATATCAATTAAAAATGATTACAATATATCTATATTTATTTATTAGAGTAATTTTAAACACCATTAATTGTTTTACTTAATATATTAATTAATTGTATTTTTTCTTTTGTTAGGGATTAGTATAATGTGTATAACTTTTAATTCTTTTTTAAATGCTAAAAAGTTATTTATTATTCTTACACATCTGGAAAATAATTTTTTGTATTTTAATTAAATGAAAGATTTTTAAAAAATGGTATTCTAAGTAGAAAAACAATATTAACATAACATTTGATTTAGTTTTTCTATTCTTTAAAGCGTTAAATAATCGAATAAATTTAAGAAACGAAAATTAAAACAGTGCGAAAATATCACAATATAAACTCTGCTTTGTTTTTAAAGCTATAAGGCTTGCTTCTAAAAATTTTTAGAAAAGCATAAAGTTTTCTTTAAAAGAAAAAAAAATCACTAAAAAACAAAAACCTTTTTTTATATATATACCTATAAAACCCATTTGTATATCAACTTTTTTAAAAGTTATGTTTGATTTATCACTTAAATCGTTGCCAAACAGATGTTAGCGTGCCAAAAAATTGTTGAAAAAGTGTTTCTATGGGAGTGCCGGGCTAGGGGTTATAGCCCCGGGCCCCAAGAAGTCTTAATCCGCCACTGTTCTATGATCATTAACTTTTTTAATAAGATAAGTAAATCTTTTAAAAAGCATCTTATTATAAAAAATAAAAAAAAGTTCTATAAATGTGGTATAAAAATAAATTTTAAGCTGATGAGAACCGGTTCAAAATAACTTTTTAAAAAGTTATTTTGAACCGGTTCACATTTCTCAACCGGTTCTCATTTCTCAACCGGTTCACATCTAAAAGTTTTTAGAATGTTCAACGGCTATAAAAGTTTCAAAAACAAAATACTTGAGATGGTCAAGAGTTATTTTGCAAAAAAAGATAGCACACACTAGCATTTTTGTGTATTTTTTAAAACTTCAACATTGTTTTAGAGCTTTACTTTAATGAAATTTGTTATCGAACACCGTTTTGTTTTTATTTTAAAAGACAATCTTTAAAAATCTTCAATTGAATTGAGTAGGGTAGATTAGAGTAATATGAGCACATTAAGCGAAATTTTTTTCAAAAATAATTATTCTGAATCCAAAATTTTTGCGAATAAACATTTTTTGGGATCCCTACTTATGAACCACTTTGATATTTGGGCACCCGAATTTTTTTCTTCAAAACACAGAGGTTTTAAAAAAGTAGCAAAAGTGCTCATATTATCAAGACCACTTGGTAATATTAGCACTTTAAATTAGCTCAAAAAATAATAACACTAATTAAGTAAGAAAATGCCAATCTGACAATTAAAATGACAATTAGAGTGACAATTCGAACAAATTTTGGAAGATAATGATTCGTTATAAAACTTATCATTAAAAAAATAAACTTATCATTAAAAGATCAAATTTTAAACCACTTTTTGTTGAAACAATACTAATATGTTCTCCGCAAAAAAAAAAAAAAAAATTAGTTCGTAATTTTTTTAGTTTTATTAACTCAAACCATTGAACGATAAAACTTTAGATTTTTTGAATTTAAATTACAGAAAAATATTTAGTATTGTTAAAATATTAAAATTTTTTACTATGTTTTGTATTTGTTTGAAAAGCAATTAAAACCACTGCCATTTTAGGACTTTAAACTTATATTTTCAATGAAAAACACTGGATAATTTGGGCGTGCTCATATCACACAAAAATGACATCTTTTAATAAAGTCAAAACTAAATGTTTCAATAAATTGTTTTTCAAACAAAAATGGATTGGGTTTTGAGCTAACACATTTTATTTTATGAAATTTAAATACTGAAATTAATTTAAGTATTTAAATTTCAGAAATCTTTAAGTACCCTAAATTCAGAGGTGGTGTGAAAGTGTATTAGCGCCAAAAAAGTAACTTTATTTTTTTGATTTTTTCGTCAATGTTAGATTACTCCATGTTGCTTTTAGTTATTAAAAGTTGATGTCTTTGTTCAGATGTAGTTACCTAATATTTTAAAATTAAAAAAATAATAATGTACTTAGAACTATTTGAAATTTACACCACTATGTCAATTGGATGGCAGAAATCGCGTAGCAAATCAAAAGAAAAGTCCGCGGAAAGAAAAAGGTAATGGCAATAAAAATAAGGTGATAACGACGATAGTGATGGCGATGATAGTGATGATAACGATACTACCGAAATTAAGACTGTTATGCAAATAATAATTATCTTGTATAATTTTTTGTTTTAAAAAAATTTAAACTATTTTTGTGGTTAGCGCCAGAGGCGATTCTAAAAATGAAATAAGGAGAGGGAAAGTGAATTCTTAAAAAGGACCGACTGTTTTTAATAATCATTCAAATATTATATATATATATATATATATATATATATATATACATATATATATATATATATATATATATATATATATATATATATATATATATATATATATATATATATATATATATATATAAGTATATATATATATATATATATATATATATATATATATATATATATATATATATATATATGTATATATATATATATATATATATATATATATATATATATATATATATATATATATATATATATATATATATATATATATATATATATATATATATATATATATGTATATATATATATATATATATATATATATATTTATATATATATATATATATATATATATATATATATATATATATATATATATATATATATATATATATATATATATATATATATATATATATATATAATATTATATTGTCTTTTTTACTTTTAAAAACATTTTTTTTTTGGTTGATTGGAATGAGGTAGAAAGTATTGGCATAAAATAGATAGTATTGATATAAAGTATTTGAGTGAGAAAAAAAAAATAATAATAATTGTTATTTAGTTCTCATTGTTTCATTTTTGTTACTAATATATTTACATTTGGTTTTTTAGGTCAATTTTCTCATTGCTATAAATATTTTACAAACTATTTGTTTTCTTTTTTTTTATCAAGCAAATTGTCATCGAGCTTAACTTTTCGGCATGAACAAGAAACTATTTTCCAGTAAAATCGAGTTTTTTGAAAACTTTTCTCTCCAATTTTACAACTCATCAAAATGTCTATTTTTTCGTAAACCGGTACACACGCGGTGGAATATTGTTCTTGAAGACCAGGAACAAAAATGCTATTACATCGTCCATAACACATATTGTTTTCTGCTGTTACAGGTTCACAATCTTCTAAATAAATTTTTGTTGGGTACGTGTATGCTTCGCAACTAGATTTGTTCCATTTATTATTAGGGACCATGATCACGTCATCTTTGACTTCTGAATGTGGTAACTCTTCTTCTTTTAGCCCATGAATACTTTTAGAAAATTCATTTACTTTATTTTTTAGTTGCATTGGTTTAGCAGAAAAAGTTTGTAATAAAAGACAGGTGATACCTAACGTTCTAAATAACAGCATCTTTGAATATAGCATATTCTGGTAGCGATCTGATGTTGGCGCAAAATTGTTTGATGTTTTTAATGAAAATGATACAAAACAATGTTTTAATAAAAACAATGCTGACTGCTCATACTTTGTGGACAAGTAATCTTATTTCTAAATCATCGATTTGTTTTATACTCAGCCACTAATACGTTGATTTCAAAATCAACAGTCTAAAAAAAAAAGAAGAAATATTGTTCTTGATGTTTACGTAAAAAAATGATATTACTGATACTATACACTAGTGTACTTTTTATTCTTTTTAGACCATATATAAACTAGTCTTGTATTATATTTATATATACTTGAAAGCATTAAAGCTTAAAAATATTTCCTCGTATATCATAATCATGTATTAAAAAAATGGACTTTACCTGTTAACGCCGTTTTGATGAAGTGGATCTTTTACCGTTTTAATTTGAATATTAGAAAATTAAAATTTTGTTTGCGTCTGAATTCTCACAGTTAACTGGTAAACGATTAAAAACAAAACATGCAATGCAATAACTTCTTGAAGTTTTAGACAACAATTGTTGGCGCCTACAAAATTCTTTCTCGGTGTGTAAAATAAAACTCGTTAAGTGTAAGCAAACGAGGCTCAGAATTAAGTGTGTACTTACGAGGGATAGGATTAAGGTGATTAAGATATTTAGTTTAAACTAGCATCTGTCCTTGCTGAATATTCATTTTACAAATAGTTTAGTTAACAAATAAGCTTTTAGTAAAGTTCGTGACTCTTTATAAATATATATATAAATATATATATAAATATATATATATATATATATAATATATATATATATATATATATATATATATATATATATATATATATATATATATATATATATATATATATATATATATCCACAGCTCGGACAAATACCGGTTTAAACAATAAATCAATATATAGAGTTATTCACTATTTTTTTATAGACTACTGCTTGTAGTTAATATAGTTTGATTTTAACTGTTTTATACTGAACAAAAGGTAAAATTGTTGTAATCTAAAAAACTGTGTATAAGTAGTGGGTTTAGTGTTTAGTTTGGTTTTTGTTTCTAAAGTAAGTTTTTGTTTGTGATGTAAGTTGCAAAAATATCCGACGAGCCTTTAAACTTTTGATCTACTCCTCTCAATAGAAAATAAAAAAAGAAATTACCCTGCCTCATAAAATAATGTCTGCCTTTATAAAATAATGTTTACCTCATAAAATGGAAACTAAAATTTTATTTGTTCAATTAAAAAAAAAAAAAACCGGAAAAAAAGCTTTGAGATTTAAAAAAAAATAAAAATACTTTTAAAAACAAAACTTCTTATATAAAAACTAAATTTTAACAACGAAATATATAAACTAAGATAAAGGAAAAGTCATATAATCCTTAAAATTTTTTTGTTTTAAAGTAAATGTTTTTTTATTAAGTTTTGACTTGATGACTTTGAGTTTATTGGTTATTCATCTATTGTTTGAGAAATATTTGCTTAACAACCAATATTTGTAAACAGTAACAATTATTTTTCAATATTGAATTCCGCTTTAGAACCTCGTATACTCATAATAATTTATCAGTAAAATTCACATTTTGATAATAATTTTTAAAAATTTTATGGTTTCGTATATATATTTTTTTATGCGTAATGTTTTATAAGTTATACATAACAGTATGATTTTATATATAAAAAAGATTTTTCTTTTTTTTTAATGTGTGACCTAAATGTACCAAAATATAATAGTAAATGAATAATTTTTTTTTTCTAATATAAGAAACTATAATGTATATACAGGATAAAAAAATTGTAATTATCATTAAATAACAAGAAAATATGTTGAAACATCATGTCCAGCATAAGCATTAGGGGTAAAATTGATATCTTTAACTTTTTCCTCAGATTTTTTTTTTAATATATAAAAATTCTAACAAGATGTAAATCTTTGTTTACCTATTTTTTTTTTTTTTTTTTTTTTTTATACTCAAAATTTTGTGTCCGCTTAAAATCATTTCCTAACCTTTTTTGCAAATGTTTTTCGGGAGATTGATTAAGTACAAATCTATTTAAATGCGAATAAGTTAGCGGAATGAATTTGCAAACACTTGCGTAAGCGTGAACTTGATAAATGTAAATATGCATATAGCAAAATAGCATAAGTGCGCTAAAAGAATTAGCAAATCACTCATAAGTGCTAATTTGAAATAATATATGATAAAAATTCAACTTTGATGGAAAAGAAATGTACCCGCTAAAAAAAAAAAGTTATAAATATATGATATACCGACATATTCTACCCCTTTAAGGCAGAAAATAATACCATTGAGTTTATATATTGTACCAAAAATGGTCATATGTGTTGTAATTTGAAAACAAATAAAATATATGCAGCAAAATGTATACAGCAAAAATTCTATAGCAGAATTTCAATGGACCTATATAGGCAAGTTAAACGACCCATTGTAGTTTTACCAATTGGTTATTCAGTCGACCACTAGCAGCAGCCGCAAAATATGGCTAACCTATGACTAGCCACTATATCACATGAAAGTTATCGGCTGGTCACTTATAGCGGATGCCACTACGTAACTGATAAGCAAAATTTCAATAAGCCTCTCAAAATCTCTATATAGGTCCACTCCAAATCCACTACAAAAATATTTGTTCAGTAGAGTAGGGCGGGAGTAATGCCCATCAAGCTCAAATGTTATTGGCTATTCTGACACACCTAATTTAGTTCAGATAGTAGGCCTAGTTAGTATTTAATTTCAGTGATATTTAAAGCAGCAGGGCGCTAATTTCTTTTGTAAACCACTCAGTGGTTTACAAAAGAAAACTGTAAATTGTATTTTTTCATCAAATTTAATAAGCCAAAATGAGAACGAATGCTTGTGTTAACTAATAAAAATTATTTTTAAGTCTTTTAACATTCTAAATTTATTTATCGTGCTATAATTTTTGATAGAAAGCTAGAATAGAGTTCACCAACGCTCCATTTTTAGCACTAAAAATTATTGCAATGTTGTCAAATTTAAAATTAAGCAAATTTGTGGTTTTATTTTTATTTGAAAATAAGTTTATATATTATTTATCACGTTATTATTTTAATAATTTTTAATCTTCTATAATATTTTTGAAAACTAGGTTATTAGAAATTTAACATAATTATGTAGCCAGCGCAATTGTTTACATGTGGTTAGTACAATTGTTTACACGTTTACAGAGAGTTAGTAGTATAAATATGAAATTCTCTTTTGAAGAAATATACTCTCTGTAATGAATCTTTCATATGTATATAGATTTATTTAAAAATACTAAATAAATATTAAAATAGGTCAAACTAACTTTTTCGTGATCTTTTCGATATTTTTAACGAAATAAAATTTGTTTTTGTCGTTATTAGACATAGCTTTATCCATTCGTGCTACAGGAAATGATTTTTGAGAAAAAAATTCAAAAGGTCGTCACCTTATTAAATAGTCTCACTCCGTTGCCAGTAAATCAACGCAAAAACAACAACAACAACAACAAAATAATAACAATTGAAATATTCTCCAAGAAAACTAAAAAAACTACTTAAACAAAATATAACCTTTGAAAAGAAACTTATTCAAGAAAAGTTGATTAGCTTTTCAATAAAAATAAATACAGTTTAAAAGCCAACTTGTATCAAATCCTTGTGAAAATACGTATAACGATGTTTAAGGTTTTTCCATATTTTTTTTTATTCTTGTTAGTGCTCGGTGTAGTTAAGGCAATTTACAAGTTATTCGAATTCTTTTAATTGAAATTAGCGTAATTTTACCAGCGTATTACGTCCAAACAAGAGCTTTAGATGTTATAATTTTTATTGCTTTAGGTTTTTTAACATTTAAAGAAGCTTTTCTTTTTTATATATAATATTCAAAACTTTTTTACTACTCTTAATATTTAATCTAAAGAACACCATTTTGGAGTCTTTAGATCACTTTCGCTCATCGGTGTTAACATGAATTTAGTTGAAATCTTTCCAAAAAGTGCCTTAATATAACTATAGATCCTAGTTCTAATCGGTTCTGACATATATTAATTATATATAGTTGTCAAAACACAATATTTCTATAAATTTTTCCAAAAATACTAAAATTCCGGTCAAGAAAGAGCATATAATTAAGAAAAATTGTCAATAAACAATCATAACAGATCATATCACTAAACTATAATGTTCATTTCACCTAAAAAGCGTATTTATTTAAGATCTTTTTCAAATTTGAACAAGCAATCGTGATTTTTAAAAAAAAAAATTTTGAAAAAAAAAATCTTCGGTCTGGATTTTTTTGCTACAAACATTTATATTTTACGATACCGCAAAATTTATCATTTTAATTTTTTTCGTCTTTTTATAATTCACGGACCTGATTGTTTAACGAAAATATGCCGTAGCCAACAAATTATCATACAGACGCTATAATATTTTGAAGTTGTCTTAACTACACCGAGTGTTATAAAAAAATAAAAACAAAACTTTATTTTATTTTCCATTTTTTGTTTGCAAAAAAAAAAAAGCAAATTGTTGCATTTATTGCAAGAATGGTTCTTCGGCTTTAATATATGGGCATCCTGTCCCTTATGTGAGGTAAATAACTTTTTGCATAATTTTTTTAATCGAATATTTAAAAGTAGTTATTGTTACGAAGCGGAAGAAAAAAAAAACTAAAAGCAAAAACAAAAGCTATTGAAATGAAAGATAAAATGTTTTGAAATAATTAATACTAATATTAAAAATCTTTTATAATAATATTAATATGGGAGGCGGATCGTTCCCTGTTTTTTTCCCCACTTTACCCTACTCTGATTTATTATTAGGAATTGGTTGGGAAGGTTGGACTGTTTTTAGACCTTGTCTAGAAGAGAAAAGGCATCATTAGAAAAGCCAGCCTAAATATGTCAACATTATTCCATACAAAGATGACTAAGAGATTCATAGAAGTAGATAATTTTTATTTTTTAATATTCATTAATTGCAAATATATAAATATAGGATTAAAAAAAAAAAAAAGACAATAAAGAATATTAAAAAATATTAAAGAATAATTTTTATTCAAGTGAAAAAAATTTGTTGCTAAAAATATTGCAAATTTCTTGGAATGAGAAAGTTATATGTAAATTATAGTAAACTAGAAAATTTTTTTAAAGTTTCTTAAGAATCAACCTTTGGTTTACTCTTGTTTATGTAAAAACTTGAAAAATAAAATAGCAAAATTAAATTCTTTTTTTTTCCAACAACATAAACCTATATCTATTAGTAATTTAATAGTGTTGTAAATAATTTTAATAACTTTGAAAGTAAATGAGAATTCTCAGTTAGTGTGTGTAAAAAAAAACATTTTATTTTAAAGAAGAACGCCTGAAAAGAACTTTTAAACTTTCTGGTCTGTTATAAGTGCTAAACAAATAGCAAGTAAATATTCAAAGTATTAAATGCTTGACCAATCAATAGAATTCAAAAATTAGATCCATTTTATAATTTATTGAGATCCCGATCCTATATTTTGCTCCCCCCCCCCCAAAAAAAAAAAAAAAAAAAAAAAAATTGCTTGCAATAAATACATTTTTACAAATAAATTACTTTTGAATTTTAGACAAACGCTTTTCGCATTCCATTTTTACACAAATTTAAAAATATCCAAGTTTTAATTAAATTCCATAAACGTTTTTTCGGCTTAGAGTCGTTATTCATATAAACGAAAAAAAAATCTAAT